CCACTAAAAAACTGTTAGAACTAATAAACAAATTCAGTAAAGGTCCAAGATAAAAAATCAACATATAAAAAAAAATCCGACATGCAAAAATCAGCAGCGTTTCTATACACTAACAACAAACTATCTGAAAAAGAAATTAATCTCATTTACAATAGCATCAAAAAGAATAAAATACTTAGCTATAAATTGAACCAAGAAGGTACAAGATCTGTACACTGAAAACTATAAGACATGGATGAAAAAAATTGAAGAGACACAAATAAATGGAAAAATATTTTGCATTTATGTATTGAAAGAATTAATATTGTTAACATGTTCATACTACACAAAGTGATCTACAGATTCAATACAACCCCTATCAAAATTCCAGTGCCATTTTTTTACTGAAATAGAAAAAAGAATATTAAGGGCCGGCCCGTGGCTCACTTGGGAGAGTGTGGTGCTGATAACACCAAGGCCACAGGTTCAGATCCCTATAGAGGAATGGCCGGTTAGCTCACTTGAGAGAGCGTGGTGCTGACAACACCAAGTCAAGGGTTAAGATCCCCTTACCGGTCATCTTTTATTAAAAAAAAAAAAGAAAGAAAGAAAGGAAAAAGAATATTAAAATTCTTATGGAACCACAAAAGACCTTGAATAACCAAAGCAATTTTGAGAAAAAAGAACAAAGCTGGAGGCCTTCCACTTTTTGATTTCAAACTAATGTATATTACAAATCTATAGTAATCAAAACACCATGTTACTGGCATAAAAACAGATACCTAGACCAATCAAACAGAATCAAGAGAGAGCCCAGAAATAAGCCCATGCATATGCAGTCGACTAATCTTTGACAAAGGTGCCAAGAATACACATTGGAGGAAGTATTGTCTCTTCAATAGATGGTGTTAGAAAAACTAGATATCCACACACAAAATAATAAAACTGGACCCTTATCTTACAACATACACAAAAATTAAATAAAAACATTCAGAGAGTAAGGCAGAATAAAAAAAAAACTTAACTCAAAATGGATTAAACTTTATGTAAAACCTGAAACTGTAAAAACTCCCAGAAGAAAACATAGGGAAAAATCTCCTTGACTTTGGTCCTGGCAATGATTGTTTGGATATGACTCCAAAAGCACAGGAAATAAAAGCAAAAATGAACAACTGGGACTACCTCACATTAAAAAGTTTCTGCAGAGCGAAGGAAACAATCAACAAAATGAAAAACAACTGATAGAATAGGAGAAAATACTTGCAAACCGTATGTCTGATAAGGGGTTAATATCCAAAATATATAAGGAACTCATGCAACTCAATAGAGAAAACAAACAACAACTGATTAAGAAATGGGCAATGAACCTGAATATACTTTTGTCCAAAGAAGACATACGAATGGCCAACAGGTATATGAAAAGGTGCTCAACATCACTAATCATCAGGGAAGTACAAATCAAAACCACAATGAGATATAATTTCACATGTTAGGATGGCTATTACCAAAGAAACAAGATAAGTGTTGGTGAGGCTATGGAGAAAAGGGAATCCTGGTACATGGTTGCTGGGAATGTAAACCAGTACCGCCATTATGGGAAACAGTACGAAGGTTCATCAAAAAATTAAAAATAGAACTACTATTCCACTCTAGGGTATATAACCAATGGAAATGACATCAGTATCTTGAAGAGATATCTGTACCCCTATGTTCATTGAAGCATTATTCACAATTGCCAAGATATGGAAACAACCTAAGTGTCCATCAATGGATGAATGGATAAAGAAAATGGGACACACACGCACAAACACACACACAATATCATATTATTTGGCCACAAAAAAAGAAGGAAATTCTATCACTGCAACCACACAGATGAACCTGAAGAGGACACTGTTGAGTGATATAAGACAGACAGACAAAATGCTGCACGATGTCTCTTATGTGTGGCATTATGGTCTGAATGTGTCACCCCAAATTCATGTATTGGAAAATTAACCCCCAATGCAACAGTATTGGGAGGGCAATGGACCTGTGACCTTTTGAGAGGTTTTAGGTCATGAGGGCTGTGTGGATTAATGCCCCTATGAAAAGGACTTGTGGGAGTGGATTTGCTCTACCTTGCCCTTCCACCTTCTCCCATGTGGAACTGGACTTCCCAGGCTCCAGAACTGTGAAAGAATAAATTTCTGTTTTTAAATCACCCTGTCTCAGATATTGTTACAGCAGCATGTAACAGACTAAACATGTGGAATCTAAAAAAGTCAAACTCATAGAAGCAGAGAGTAGAATGGTGGTTGCCAGGGGCTGGGCTGTAGGGGAAATTGGGAGATGCTGGTCTAAGGGTATATAAACTTTCAGTTATCAAATGAATAAGTTCAGAGAATTTAATGTGAGCATAGCAACTACAGTTAGTAATAATATATTGGGTGTTTGACACAGTAGATCTTTTCTCACTACACACATAAAAGGTAACTATGTGAGGTGATGAATGTGTTAACCTGATTGCAGTAATCACTTCACAATATATATGTATATTAAATCATCACTTTTTACACTTTAAATATATACAATTTTTGTCAATTATACCTCGATAAAGCTGGGAAGAAAATAATAAAACCAGTGTTTCTCTCTTGGGCCGGCCCGTGGCTCACTCGGGAGAGTGCGGTGCTGATAACACCAAGGCCCCGGGTTCGGATCCCATATAGGGATGGCCGGTTCACTCACTGGCTGAGCATGGTGCTGACAACACCAAGTCAAGGGTTAAGAACCCCTTACCGGTCATCTTTAAAAAAAACAAAAAACAAAAAAAACCCCAGTGTTTCTCAACCCTGGCTAAGATTAGAATAAAGAGCTTTAAAAACAGCAACTAGTATGGGCCCTGCACTCTCACTCCCAGTCCAACTGATTCAGATTATTTTTTTTTCCTTTTTGTCTTTTTTCGTGACTGGTAACGGGATCGCAACCCTCGGTGTCGCGCCTGCACCATGCTCAATCAGTGAGCGGACAGGTCTCTATATGGGATCCGAACCCTCGGCGGGAGCGCCGCCACACTACCGAGTGCGCCACCGGGCCAGCCCTGATTCAGATTCTTCTACTGCTTTAATGCTCTTCAGATGGCTTTATGAACAGCTAAGGTTATATAATCCTAACAGTCACCTCCGGGAACGTAAATTTCCCACAACGAAAACAGCCTTTCATATTTCTATACATTTTGGTTTAGCTCATAATCTCAACTTAGTTCCCCCCAGTTTCATAATAGTACATGGACTTTTTTGTAAATAAAAGGCTCATTAATAGTAACAATAGCTACCACTGCTTATTTTGTTTCAGGAGCAGTGTAAAGAGTTTAAAACTATGATCTAATTTAAACTTCCCAACAACCCTATGGATATGGTTACTAACATATTTTACGTTACAGAAACAGATTTAGAGATGGTTAAGAAATTTGTCCAAGCCATCACATCTGGAAGATGCTGGAGCCAAATCTTAAATCCAGATGTTTTGCTTAAGAATTCTTATACAAAACTACCATATTTTACGCCTCTCACCACAATAAATAAATCGGAAAATTGCTGGCAGCTTCAAAATGGTAAATTCTTCCCTGCTTTTAGGAAGTCCTTGTATAACCTCAGGACATCCTAATCCAGATAGATGCTCATCCCATATATAAGAAAAGCACAGAAGTCTTGCTACTTATTTCGAGTTTGCATATATTCATTCAAAAACATTTGCTCAGTGTTTTCGTTGTTTGTTGTTGTTGTTTTGCGCTTGGCCGGTACAGGTACAGGTTCAAATCCTGGATCCTGGTGTTGTCAGCACCACACTTTCATCAACTGAGCTAAGTAGCCAGCCTGCTGAGTGCTTATGTTCCAGAAAGTGTATTTCATATACACAGAAAAAAACAGACAAGTCACTGCTCTTGTGGGTTTTGCTTTCAACAACCAATTTGAGGGTTCATCTGTAAACTGGGGACAATATCTGCCCTCTCTTAAGCTTGTTGTGAGAATCAAAATTGTACATGTAAAGTACTTAATGACTGACAAATAGTAACTGCTCAATAAATGTTAGATATTTTTAGTGTGCTGGAGTAGGAACTGAATTAGCCGCAGGGATCATAAAAATAAACATCGCTGGTGTTTAAGCCCAATTTAGAAAGAAAGATGGGTATCAGCAGTAGGATGTCAAGTGCTGGGGCCGGGCTTGATTCAGAGAGGTCGTATCTGCACTGCGCCTTGAGGGATGAAAATAATTTCGTTCGTGTGATGCAGGAGTGATTCCAGCCAGTGCAAAAGACTGAAGGTGAGAGAAGTGTTGTTCTAAGTGGCTGACGGGGGAGGTAGGGGAGGGAGGCGGGGAAGGGGGAGTGTTAAAGGAAGATTAGTAAACCAGGTTAAGGATACCAAGGGACCAGATAAGTAAATCTACTTTTATCCCGCCCCAACAATTTAGGGTTTTTCTTTGTTAAGTAATAGAATGGCTAGTGATTTTTCCCAGCTCATAAGCAACACCATATGAGACATCATCTTTGTGCTCCAAGAATTTATAAACACGTCAAAGACCCACTATCCTATTTAATGGCCAATCCTATACACAATAATCACGGCGAAACTGGGGGAGGGGGCCGGAAAACAGCACAGTTTCCTCGCGAACAAATAACATCCAGCATTCAGCTGAGAACAGCCACAAGATGGAGGACAAAAGGGTAAAGAAAAGACTCCGCAAAAAGAACGCATGGGTGGAACCCCTCCACACTATTGGCTCGACTCTCACCTCTTTTCAGGGGACGCATCTGGTGAGGGCCTTCTTGGTGGTGACTTTTGGCGTACTCTTTTCCTTTTCCATTGGCTACCCGCTCCTCTTCTGGGTCAAAACAGCCAATCGCTTAGCGTCGTGGGTAAAGCCCGATCTTCCTTCCTAGGGGAGGAGGAGCTAGAAGAGCGAAAGGGCCCACAGCGCCTGCGCAGGTGCGCGCCCCGCCGGTTAAAAGCGGATCGCGGCAGGAGGCGGTGTCGCGGTGCATGAATATTGATTACGCATCGCAGCGCCGAACGCCCGCCCCTCTCGGCTGCCCGACGCTCGCCGCTCGCGCTCGGGCTCGCGATGGGGAAGAAGTCCCGGGCAGTACCCGGCCGCAGGCCCATCCTGCAGCTCTCACCGCCAGGTCCCCGGTGCAGCACGCCGGGCCGGGACCCGGATCCGGAACCCGACGCCGAGCCGGACTCGACGGCTGTGTCCCCCAGCCAGCCCGTCCCTGTGGCGGCTGCAGCGACCACCACCGCGGTGACTGCCGCCGCGGCTCCGGACGACTCGCCTTCAGAAGGTGAGCGTGCGTGGGGCGCCCCGGCCTCTCGTTGGGGCGTCCGAAAGTCGAGTTCCGGGCTTGCGGCCTAGGCCTCTCATGGCGCCTGACTGGACCGTGTGAGGTAGAGAAACCAGGACGGGCGAGGTCCGCTTCCGAGGCCTGCCTGCTGGGGGCTTGCGGGGAGGGCGGCCGTGGACCCCAGGGCGGCGGAAGGGGCCGGCCGAGCCACCCCAAGGCGCCATCTCTGCAGCAGGTTTGCCCCGGGAACGTTTGAAATGCGACAGAGGCCCGGGCATCCTGAGACCCCTAAACGCCCCAGGTCGGTCTTGGATAATGTATAGGGTAGATGGCAGTGTACACGTCACCTGCTTCCCTTCGTTTTTGTTGAAACAGAGCTAGAGGCCTTAGAAGTGAACAAACTTTTATTATGCCAGCCGAAGCTTAAGAACCCCCAAGCTAACAGGAATCCCAAAAATTCTTGGAGAAGTGGGAACTTGTGCGGTTCTCCCTGGAATGGTAGTTGGATTAAGAATAACTCCACGTCGTTGCTACAGGGCTAGGCGCCGGAGAAGCCGCGACCATTTCAGATGTTAAGAAATCACGTTGGGTAGCTCATGTAAAAAGCAAAAAACAAAATTATGTCGTAGCACTGCTTGTTATAAAGGCCCTATGATAATCGCCTGGAGAACAAGATTGATTGCGTGTGTTGATTTTGAAGTATTGCAGATGTCATTTTTATGTACAACGTTCAGATTCTTCTCTTAATGTTGAAGTCACTAGGTAAATGGAAGATTCTAGCTCTTCTTGTTTATCATCTCCCGATTACTTGGGTCAGTGATACGCCTTGTTTTTAAATTGGTGAAATCTAGACCGGAAAGGTCAAATCAAAGATTTGTCAACTGTACTGTTGTTTTTTCTGGTCCAGAGTCTGACTGCAGTTTTCTTTTGTTCGTTTTTTAAATCCAGATGAACAGGAAGTGGTGGTGGAGGTTCCTAAAGTTGTTCAGAATCCTCCAAAACCAGTCATGACCACCAGACCCACAGCCGTTAAAGCAACAGGTATAGTTTGTTTACATCTTTTCTAGAATATTTTCTATTAAGTTCAAATTGGGTTTGTACATAGAATGTTTTGTTGAATGCTTCGGTGCTGCTCATATGTTTCTCCTATAAAAATATAGTTTAAAACCCGTCCGTTCCTGAGGGCTTGTTGGTCTATACACTTTTTTTTTTTTTTCGGTATATTCACTTTGACCAATGCAAAATTTGTGGCTTTTCTCTGTATCCAAAATACCTTGTGCTACTTTTTCTTCTGATGCTATTTTATAACTAGATTTCTGACCCTCCCATTACCTTGGTGTTCTTTAAGGACACCAACCATGTCATACTTTTCATTCTGTTCCATTTCTAATACTCTGCCTTGGTTGGTACCTAGCAATTGTTTGTGGAGCTGAAAATTGTTCTAATTAAATATTTTTAAACACAAAGGGATATTTGCAACAGTGCTTTTGTAGACAAACCTGGGTTCAAATCACTGTAGTATTCACTCTAAGATCTTAATTCAATTATTAATTGGGCTGAGCCTCATTTGTCTTTAAAACAGATCTTATAGCCCTGAGTTATTTTAGGATTAAATTGGATAATGTATATAAATTTCTGACATTAGTAAGTGCCAATGATGTTAGTTTTCTCTACTCTTTATATACTGTCTTGAAAGATCAAAATATGTTTTGATATTAAATACTCATTAATGGGGGCTGTCCAGTTTACTTAGTTCGTTAGTGTGTTCCTAATAACACCAAGGTCCAGGGTTTGATCCTTGTACTGGTCAGCCGCAAAAAAAAAAAAAAAACAACAACCAATAATGGGTAGTAATTTTATTCTTTTCAATTTGAAATGATAATAACACCAAGGTCCAGGGTTTGATCCTTGTACTGGTCAGCCGCAAAAAAAAAAAAAAAAAACAACCAATAATGGGTAGTAATTTTATTCTTTTCAATTTGAAATGCTTTTTGTACTATTTGACATCTAAAATACTAGGTGTTTATTCCTCCCTCCCCACCATTTGATACTTTAAAAAAAATTCTGAGAGAAAATTCATAACTATGTAATACTATTTTGTATTTGCAAACTACATATATCTCATTTGAGTCTTATAAGATCTTGTGAGAAGTATAGAATTTAAACCTTCCTAAGGAGTGATTTCCTTGATTGCTGCTGTGGTTCGAATGTCCCTTCCAAAACTCATGTTGAAATTTAATTGCCATTGTAACAGTATGAAGGGCCTTTTAAAGAAGTGATTAGGGCATAAGGGCTCTGTCCTCAGGAATGAATTAATGCCTTTTTGGAAGTGAGCAGGCTAGTTAGGCAGGCTTATAATGCCGGAGTGGGCCTCTGCCCTTTTATAATCAGCATTAATTCGTTCATGAGGGTGGAGCACTCATAACCTAAACACAGTAGGCCTCCGCTTCTCAACACTGTTGCATTGAGGATTAAGTTTCCACAGCACGCTTTTTGGGGGGACACATTTATTTATTTATTTATTTTCAAAATAGTAATTTGTTTTTTTTTTCTGTTTTAGATAATTTTTAAAAAACTTTAAGCATAGTTGATTATATTTTTGGAGTACAGTGTTGACTGTTGGTATTTGTGTACCATATGTGATGATCAGATCAATATTAGCATGTTCATTATTACAAATTGTAATTATTTTTTGTGTCCCTTTCCCAGTTTCTTTCTATCCCCCTTCCCCACCTCTATGGGGGACACATTTAAACCATAGCAAGTATATACCTAAGTAACAATTTACTGTCTGATGTAGTCAGTTGATTTGCAAATTGTGTTTTATCATCTATTAAGTGTAAGCACATTGAGGTTTGAGGAATCAGCCCTCCTCAAAAAAAGACTGCTAAGAACTGTGGCTCCGACATTGGCCTTGCTTCCTCAGGTTTTAAGTAGCAACAAATCTCAATATTAGTCTAGGACTTGTTTGTGTGAGGTTTAGGTTTATTTTTCTAAGATTAAGCAATTTTACCTGATATTGTGAGCATTTATTTTCCGTGTTATTATAAATTCGTGCCTTTTCTTTATCCATGTATGCACTAAGTTTTCAGAAGTTTAATTAGAATGTACGTGTATTTTATGACTCGCTTTTATTCTTCTAACATTACTTTTTATCCTTTTAGTATTATTTCATGAACTCCTATGATGGTCTCATTAATCATAAAATATAGTATTATATCAGGTATTGTGGTATAATTTACTTTGCCAGTCCTCTGTTAGAGAGCATTTGAGTTGTTTATAGCTTTTAGTTTAAAGCAAGCCAATAGAAGCTTTGTGCAAAAAAAATTTTTTGAGTTGCTTCCTGGGGTTGTATTGCCAAAAATGGGATTATCTAGGTAACAGATACTTGAGTTTTTTTAGTTCTTGCTTGGTACCTGTTACCAGATTGCACTTAAGAAATATTGAATCAGTTTATGATGTCTAACAATATTAAGTATACCAATTTCCCACAAACACTGGGTTTAATAATTTTCATCTGTTTTGCTAATTTAATTGTCATTATGTTATTAGGAGCTTGGAAGTGTACTGTGAAAAGTTTTGAAGTGAAGAAAAAAGAAATAGGAAGATCCTTGCCTGTGAGCTTGGGGAAGTACCCCTTCTTGGGGAATTTTGTAGAAAATTCCATGCAGCTCACCTAGTAGGATCCTTTTACCAAAGGATATAGAATGAAGACCAACAGCCTAGATGATTACATCTATGATTGTCTCTAAACTAGAAGAGTTTTTATATAAATTTCCCATATTCCTCTCCAAAATCCATCATTTTATCCCCTGAGTACTAAAGTATGGGTTTTTTCCATATAGAAGTTTCTCCTTTTGTAGTTCTGCTTTTACCAGGGGTATTATCTCTTGTTCAGAAAAATCAGAAAAATTGACCATCATGTCCAAAAACAATGAGAGAAATAAAATATTTGGTAACTGAGGGCTGGCCAGTTAGCTCATTTCTTTAGATTGCAGCTTTATAACACCAAGGTCATGGGTTCAGATCCCTATACCAGCCAGCTGCCCCCCATCCCCCCAGAAATTGTAACAGGAAAATGGAAACACTGTCAAAGAAATGTTCACTTAAAAATCCTTCTAACTGTATTCACCAATTGAGAATTGGTTAAATAAATTATGGTCCTGAGCTGGCCAGTTAGCTCAGTTGGTTGGAGCACAGCCTTATAACACCAAGGTCATGGGTTCGGATCCCCAACTGCCCCACCCCACCCCACAAAAATCCTTCTACTAGTTTAAAATAATATTTTGGAAATTGATATTTAGTGTAAGAACTTACTTATATACTAAGAAAATAATGAAGGCAAGACTTATAAGATTATAGCATTGAATGTGAACTTTTATGATTAATGGAACAACTTTTGTTTACTTTTAAGTGAACCCATGAGTACATTCATGGAACATATGACACAGAAAACTACATTTCCCTTCCTGATAAATCTGTTCATTTACCAAATTTTTTTTTTTTTTTTTTGTCTTTTTTCCTGTCCGGCAACGGATCGCAACCCTCAGTGTCGCGCCCGTACCAGACCGGGACCGGCAATGGGATCGCAACCTTCGGTGTTGCGCCCGCACCTCGCTCAGCCAGTGAGCGGGAACCGGTCTGTATGTGGGATCCGAACCCTCGGCGGGAGCGCCGCCACACTCCCAAGCGGCGCACTGTAGCAGTGCGCCACCGGGCCGGCCCCATTTACCAAATTTTTTATTGAGAACATAAATGTGCCAGGCAGCGTGAAATTTAGTTGTATTAATAGCTGAAAAAGTCTAGCTAGAATTTAACATTTTATGTTCATATTGTAATACAGTTCTATATAGAGAGGGGTATATATGGTCACATAATTGTAGCATTAAGGTAGCCATGGGTGATCCAAAAGGAAATGGCATAGCAGTTCTATAGCGGCAATACTCATACCACTTGCATTTGAGGAAGACATCAATAATTGGTTCTAGCCATTTGAAGTCCCATTTTAATTCATGTCACCTCTTGTTTTAGGAATAATCATTGATTAAGGGTTTTATTTTTAAGTTGGAAAATCTTTGTTTCGTCTGCTTCACCATAATCTGCTTAATTGTTTGAGATGAACCAAATTCTAAAATCAGAATATGCTGTGTGCTGTTTTGAAAGAGAGCGAAGTTGAATAATTGATTGAGTTTGTATGAGAGTCCTTGAAAAAGTTCATGGCGAGATTATTATTTTATATATATATAAAATATAATATATATATATATATATATATATAATATATATATATTTTTTTGACAGCTGGCCAGTAAGGGGATCTGAACCTTTGACCTCAGTGTTAATCAACATTGCTCTAACCAACTGAACCAACTGAGCCAACTGGCCAGCCTCCAGTATTATCTTTTAATTCTGTTTTTCCATGAACTTATTGAAGTACCCTCTTATTTGGGGGAGGATGTCAAGTAACTATGCAGACTGATTTTATTAGCTGTAAGTGTATAATGTAATTTATACTTCTGTGGTAGTTCAGTGATTATTAATTTTGAGGTTATATCCCAATCTATAAGTAAACTAAATGTAAACTCTTTGACTGAAGAACCATGTTATGTATTCTCTTAGATATTTCCTAGGACATACTGGTGTTGTTTTTATAAATACTGTTTTCCTTTTTGTTTCTAGGCGGTCTATGCTTACTTGGTGCTTATGTTGACAGTGATGATGATGAGAGTGATGTTTCTGAAAAACCACCACAATCCAAAGAGGCAAATGGAAACCAGTCGACTGATATTGATAGTACTTTGGCCAGTTTCCTAGCGGTTAGTGGTACTTTCTTGGGTTTTTAGTTATTGAAACCACTTTGAAATCTGGATCTCGGGCCGAGCCCGTGGCGCACTCGGGAGAGTGCGGCCGGTCTCAAAAAGGACCAAAAAAAAAAAGAAACCTGGATCTCAAGTGGTCAGTGTGCTTGTCAGTCTCAGTGTCTCTCTCCTCTTCTCACTCTCTCCCTCCACCCTTTTTTCTCCATCCCTCCTCATCTCTCTCTCCTCCTTTTGTAAAACTCGTAAAAAGAAGAAAAGAAAATATAATGGATTTGGGGAACATGTGTAATTGGAAGATGAGGGTTTTAATTTGAGAAGCTGAGAATCGACTGTATAAAATTTTTCGTAAAGTGATTGCCATTTCCTCAAGTTTTTGGTTTTGATGTAATTAATGCATTTGTTACTCTTTTCATTCTAAAGGAGATTGATGCCATAACAGCTCCTCAGCCTGCAGCTCCTGCAGGAGCTTCTGCTCTGCCTCCAACTCCACCTCGACCAGAGCCAAAGGAAGCAGCAACATCTGCCCTTTCTTCCACTGCTTCAAATGGAACAGACTCAGCCCAAACATCAGGGTGGCAATATGATACTCAGTGTTCACTGGCAGGAGGTAAGGGTGGGATTCTTTGATTTTTAATGAAATTTGAAGTGCAGTCCTTAGGTATTCTAGGTGTTGACATTCCTAAAGATGAAAGCCCAGATGCTTTAGCCCTAGACTTAAGGATTCTGGTCTTTTAAGTACAATATTTTGAAGATGGTAGGTAGGGTAGTGGTCTCTGAGAACTTACAGGATTTAATTTTTTTTAAATTAGAATTGACACATTGGTAGGATTTTTTTTTTTTTTTTGGTAGCTGTCTGGTACAGCTACAGGATTTAATTTTTTTTAAATTAGAATTGACACATTGGTAGGATTTTTTTTTTTTTTTTTTTGGTAGCTGTCTGGTACAGTAATCTGAACCCCCTTAACCTTGGTGTTTCTCTCTAACCAGCTGAGCTAACATTGCTTGTCCTTTTAACTGTAGCAGATTATGATAGGTGAACAATAAAAGCCACTATTTTTTAAAGTATTTTGGGGTTTTTGGACTAGCAGTTGCTCTTTTTTTCTTGGCAGCTGACTGGAAAGGGAATCCAGACCCTTGGATATAGCGTTATAACACCGCACTCTAACCAACCGAGCTAACCTGCCAGCTCCAATTGCTCTTTTTAACCATGTGTGCTAATGTGACTCTACATTTTTGTTGCGAAAGTAATTCTTAGTGATAGAACAGTGGTTCTCAGTTGAACGGGAGGGATTGCCCCCAGGGGACATTTGACAATGTCTGGAGATACTTTCGGTTATCACAATGCAGGAGGCAGGAGTGGGTGGGCTGTTACTGCATTTAGTGGGTAGAGGCGGGGGGCGGCCAAACACTCTACATGAGACTGCCCCTCATAACAAAGACCTTTCAGCCCAAAATGTAAACAGTGCTGAGTTTGAGAAACCCTGTGTTAGATAGTTGTGACTTCACTGCTGACTTGGGAAGTAAGTTGGAACTGTAGAGGAATGTGGGCTTCTTAAAATTTGTTTTATTTTTCTCTAGTCGGAATTGAGATGGGAGATTGGCAAGAAGTCTGGGATGAAAACACAGGATGCTATTATTATTGGAACACACAAACAAATGAAGTGACTTGGGAGTTACCCCAATATCTTGCCACCCAGGTACAGGGATTACAACATTACCAGCCCAGGTAGGAATAAACTTGAAAAATAAATCACCCAGAAGGAAATTAGAGTCTTATCTTTTGCTTGATAGTATTTGTCTTCTTTTTCTCTTGCTAAGTATACTTTTTTTTAGTTCTGTACCAGGTGCTGAGGCTAGTTTTGTGGTAAATACAGACATGTATTCTAAGGAGAAAACTGTTCCTGTTTCCAGTAGTAAAAGTGGACCAGTCATAACCAAGAGAGAAGTTAAAAAGGTAAGTGTATTAGTCTGTTTTTGTTGCTTATAACAAAATACCTGGAACCGGATGATTTATAAAGAAAATGAAATTTATTGTTTACAGTTTCTGAGGATGGTTAATCCAAAGTCCATCTGGTGGTGGCAACAGTGACCCAGGGGTCTCACATTGCAAGATGGTGGAAGCAGAGAGAGAAAGAGACAGACTCTTAAAGCCCTCAGAACCACGCTCCTGTCCACCATTTTTAATCCATTCACTACAGTACAGTCCTAACAATCTTATCACCTCTTCAAGGCCCCACCTTTCAATTACTATAATAGGGTTTCCTAGCCTCTTAACAGTCATAGTAACAGCTAAGTTTCTAATACATAGAACTTAGAGGACACAACTCAAGCCTCAGTGAGTTTGGGGGGAAATAATTCAATCCACTACAGTAAGTATTGCAACATAACTCATTTGCTTATTTGCAAATCTGATAAACTTGAATGTTAACTCTGAGCACAGGTATAGAAGCCTTCTGTTAATATTTTAGAGATGTGAGATAGGATAAATTCTGTCTCTTAAGGTTTTACTTAATCTATTTCTGTATGTTATGCAGCTTCTTTAACAGCTTTCTAGTTCAGTGATTTTGTCAGAGATTAAGGGTGCCACAGGGGTTCCTTGGGTTATCCTAAAGGATGCTGGAGCAGCCAAGCAGGGCTCCAGGTTCCCATCTCCACTTCAGACAGAAACATTCTATTTTGGGATTCCACTTAAGTTTTTTTTTTTTAAACAAACATCAGCTACTTAAAAATTAAAAACTACTACTATTGAAACAAGCATTTCTATAGCCTGCTCAATAAGAAAAGTGAATTGTGTTCTTAAGAGAGAGTATGTGTTGAATTACAATTTATCTTGAATTTTAAAATTTTTTTTGGTATCAAAAAGTAACTATTGAAATCTTTACATCTCTCTAGGAGGAGTGTAAGACAAGTACAAGTATTATCACAGTGGGGAAATAGATAACCTAAATCTAATCACACATTTTATTTTAGAAATATTTCACTTTCGGGCTGGCCCGGTGGTGCACTGCTACAGTGCGCTGCTTGGGAGCGTGGCGGCACTCCCGCCGAGGGTTCGGATCCCACATACAGACTGGCCGCTCACTGGCTGAGCGAGGTGCGGGCGCAACACCGAGGGTTGCGATCCCGTTGCCGGTCCCGGTCCGGTCCGGGCGCGACACTGAGGGTTGCGATCCGTTGCCGGACACGACAAAAAGACAAACAGGAAAAAAAAAAAGAAGTATTTCACTTTCCTCTAAGTCACCTTCACAGCATACCTGTGAGGTTTTCTCATACAGAAGAAGGCGAAGATTAATTGAGTCATGTGTTGAGCTGACAACATGCTGATCCTATTTAAGTGCCTCTGCTTACTAGTCTGCCTTTTTTTTTTTTTTTTCCTTTTTTTTGTCTTTTTTCGTGACCGGCAACGGATCGCAAACCTCAGTGTCGCCCCGTACTGGACCGGGACCGGCTACGGGATCGCAACCCTCGGTGTTGCTCCCGCACCTCGCTCAGCCAGTGAGCGGCCAGTCTGTATGTGGGATCCGAACCCTCGGCGGGAGCGCTGCCGCGCTTCCCAAGCGGCGCACTGTAGCAGTGCGCCACCGGGTCGGCCCTAGTCTGCCTTTTGATGTCCTAAAACTGAGTCCCACACAGAATTAGGCTGTAGTTCAGTCACTGCCTTTGTAAAGTAACACTGTTTCCATTATATACGTGTAATGGCACAAGCTAATCTGTTGGGAGTAGGTGGTTTTTAAGAGTGTCCGGTGACTAAAAACAGTTAATATTGATATGAACAATTAAGTATATTTACAGGTGAGATTTCTTTGAGAATCAAGTGAGACTAAATTATTTTATTCTTTGTAGGAAGTAAATGAAGGAATTCAGGCTCTCTCAAATAATGAGGAGGAGAAGAAAGGAGTGGCAGCTTCACTGCTTGCTCCTTTATTGCCTGAGGGAATAAAAGAGGAAGAAGAGAGATGGAGAAGAAAAGTAATTTGTAAAGAAGTAGAGCCAATTTCAGAAATGAAGGAAACAAGCACAACAGTAGAAGAAACAGCAACAATAGTAAAGCCACAGGAAATTATGTTGGACAATATAGAAGACCCTTCTCAGGAGGATCTTTGTAGTGTTGTTCAATCTGGAGAAAGTGAGGAAGAAGAGGAACAAGATACCCTTGAGCTGGAGCTCGTTTTGGAGAGGAAAAAAGTAAGTTTTGAAGGTTTGGTTAAACTACTTTTTCTCCCTTCAGTACCTCTATACTCGGGGATCTTTGTGTTCAACTTACAGCCTTTATTGGGATTTTGTTTCTCTTATTCCTTCATCTAAGTAAGTTTAAGCTTATGCTTTTGATAGTTGACAACCAGTAAAGACTTGACATTTTCTCATTTAAGGGTAGATACAGTGAGTAATGAAACTGACTTAGCTTCTTAACAAATGAACGTTGTGATAACTCAGTTTTTAGCAATTAAAGTGCAGTTTGACTTCTGGTGATAAGGAATGGCATTATTTGGATAGTTAAATGGGTCTTGTAAACTTGTAAGATAACAGAAGAATTAACAGGAACCTATAATCTCATGTGCCTTCCTTTTTAAAAAGATGGTTGATAGGAAACTTTCCTGATTGAGGAGTTGGTGCTGTTTTGTTTTTTGTAGCAGCTGGTGGATACAAGGGATCCAAACCCTTGACCTTAGTCTTATAATATTGCACTCTAACCAACTGAGCTAACCAGCCAGCCTGAGAAGTTGGTTTTTACCTACTTCCCTTTTTTTTTCTTGGAACAGTTTCATCTGCTGCTACCTTAAAAGGTCCTAGTATGAAGCAGACTCTTAACAGGTGTTATAACAGTAATATCTCCTTGGAGCTTTCCCCCATTTGAAAAGTTTGAAGCTACGGAAGAGGACTAGCTAAATTAAGCCTTCTCTGTTAGGTATAGATATTGGAAAATTTGTATATTTGTGGATCTCTAGAACCTGTCCTCTTCAAACTGATATTTATTACTGTAATCATGAATGAATAAACATTTGGGTAGCATTGGAACATGGAGTATAATGTTCAGTTCTGATGGAAAAATGTATTAAGAAATGCTACCTTTCTCAAAGGTCTTAAATTCTGAGAACATAGTCATGGCTATTCTTACTACTCACAAATGCTTAAATGTTGATAAGCAGTTAATGATACTGTAACTTTATTGTTGTATTCTTTGTAGGCAGAGTTGCGAGCCTTGGAGGAAGGAGATGGTAGTGTGTCAGGGTCTAGTCCGCGTTCTGATATCAGCCAACCAGCATCTCAAGATGGAATGCGTAGACTTATGTCTAAAAGAGGGAAATGGAAGATGTTTGTTCGAGCCACCAGTCCAGAATCTACCAGCCGGAGTTCTAGCAAAACTGGACGAGAGACCCCGGAAAATGGGGAAACTGGTAATTCGTGCTTCACATTAAACTTTGGAGTTGAAAGATGTAGTGGGAAAGGAAACCCTTCTTTCTCTTTTTTGGTTTCCTCTTCAGCAAAAAGAGGGAGATATCACTTTTATCCTTTAGGGGAAGTTCTGGGAAGGAAGCTTCCATTTCTCTACCTTTTCTTGTTCTGTCTCTGGTAGAGGAATAAGAGTCTGAGAGGCTGGCATCCATTGGGAGGTGTATTCATTACTACGTGGGCATTACTTCTCCCTCAAAAGCAGAAAACAACATTTACTGCCTTTTTTTAAATTGCCTGCCACAAAAATTACCTCAATCTGTCTAAAGCCCATGGACTCTCCTGTGCTCATTTTTTCTGATTGATAAGCAAAGCAGGCAAGGACTGTTTACTGCCTTTTTTTAAATTGCCTGCCACAAAAATTACCTCAATCTGTCTAAAGCCCATGGGCTCTCCTGTGCTCATTTTTTCTGATTGATAAGCAAAGCAGGCAAGGACTATCTCATGCAAGCCCAGCCTTATTTCTGCTTTCTCTTTGTTCAAGTTGCCTAGTCTCTGTGTGGGTGGGTAGATAGTTTGGTCCTGTGTTGAGGACCCAAGTTATCTTCATTCAGGGTAAGGTAGAAGAGACCCTGCTGCATTTTTCCAGTCTATTATCAGAGAACCCTGAATAAAGCTAGTATTTTAATTTCCATTTGGTCCTAATTCTGTAGTGGAATGTTAGCAGTAGAATTTGAACACCCAACCTTAGTTGAGTATACCTAGCAGAAGATACCTGTTTTCCTTTTTTTTCCCGTTTTCGTTTTTCTGGGGAGAGGGGGTGGCTGGCTGGCTGGTAACAGGGATTAAGCCCTGGACCTTGAAGTTATCAATACCACGTTCTAACCAACTGAGCTAACCAGCCAGCCCTAAAGATATTTTTATAGGTCGTAATTATAAAACAAAACAAACAAAAACACAGATGATAAAAAAATGCAAACATACTTGCTTGAATTTTTTTCTTTTCAATCAACAATATATGGGCCGACTCCGTGGCTCACTCGGGAGAGTGTGGTACTGGGAGCGCAATGGCACTCCCGCCGTGGGTTCGGGGGATGGTCGGTGCGCTCACTGGCTGAGCATTGTGTGGACCACACCGTGCCGAGGGTTGCGATCCCCTTACCGGTCACACACACACACACACACACAAAAACAATATAGAAGAACATGAAGTAAAATTCTAAGTCTTCTTTTATGTTTTCCTTATTCTTGTTTCCTATCCCTGTGGTCCTTTTTCTTTATCCTTTATATACAGATATACTTCCAGACCTTTTCTTCTCTCTTTATATACATTTATAGTTGTGTATGTATGAGTGTGTTTACATGTGCATATGTGAATTTTACCATGTATGAGATTGTATCATGTAGATTGTTAAGCAATACTTGTTTCGTGTAACATATCTTTAAAAAAGTCATTGTTTTTAACAACGAAAAAATCTTTTTTTTTTTTTTTGTCCTTTTTGAGAACGGCCGCACCATGCTCAGCCAGTGAGCGCTGTGAGCGCACCAGTCATCCCTATATAGGATCCAAACCCGTGGTGGGAGCGCTGCTGCGCTCCCAGCGCTGCACTCTCCCAAGTGTGCCACGGGCTCGGCCCAAAATCATTGTTTTTAACCACTGAGAGGTGTAGATGTGTTTATAAATAAACTCTTCTCCCATCAGTGGACATTTAAATTGTGTCCGTGTTTCACTCTTAAAATAATAATGCTGCATTTGTATTATCCAAAAAACCAATTGACCGCTTAGATGTCCATCAAACGTAGAATCGATAAATTGTCATGTATTATTACAATGGAATAGTTAGCAGCAGTGAAAAAAATGAATGAACTATATGCATCAACATGGTGGATTTGTCTTAGAAACAAAAATATTCAACAGGGGTGGCCGGTTAGTTCATCACTTGGTTAGGGCATGCGTGATGCTGGTAACACCAAGGTCAAGGGTTCAGATGTGGTGGCACAAAGACACAGCAAGATTCAGAGGTGCTGAGAATATTCTATCGATACTAATATTAATATATTAATATTCTAGTAAGCCGTGTAACTTAAGTGTTCATTTTCTTCTTTATTTTATACACATTTGTTATGATGTTTCATGATAAGTAATGCTGGTAATAAACATCCTGGTACGTTATCGTTATACTGTAGTATCACTACAGTATAGATTTCTAGTGGTATATTGCCAGGTCACGGGGTATGTGCACTTTAGTTTGATAGATCCTATCTTAATTGCCCTCCCAAACATTCTACTCTTAGAGCTCTAGTGGTGTTTAAAATTGTTCAAGTCTCATACTTGCCACCAGATGTAAGATTTCTGATATAGGATTGCAGTATAAATTAATAAATGGGATTAGTAGAAAGATTTTGTTTTAGACAGTGTGAAAATGCAGAAGGAATATTAATGATCAGATAGAAGAAGAGCAAGGCCATTATATGATAAAGTTAAACACTTAAAATATATAAAGTTTTAGACTACTTAAAGCTGTTGAAAGTGATTTTAAAGTCACATTTCTATTGTGGATCTGGGATTAACCAGAGTCAAGAAAATGTTCTCAAATTTTTTATTTTTTAAACCTATGATATCCCTCATGACAGAATGATTTAGATTGTACAAGAGTACTTCAAAAAATTTGTGGAAAAATGGAATTTAAAGATAATTCAAATCTTTCCATAAACTTTTTTTTTTTTCCTCTTTGTCTTTTTTACTGACCGGTAACGGGATCGCAACCCTCGGTGTTGCGCCTGCACCGCGCTCAGCCAGTGAGCGGGAACCGGTCTCCACATGGGATCCGAACCCTCAGCGGGAGCGCCGCCGTGCTCCCAAGTGGCACACTCTCCAGTGCGCCACAGGGCCGGCCCCCATAAACTTTTTGAAGATACTGTTTATGTGTGTGTTAGTGTCAGTACGCAGATATGAAGAAGCAAAGATAACAGAGTTCATATCTTTTACTACATTTAAGTTGGTCATAAACCTATTCCTTTGGAGATTTCCCACTACCAACAGACATCAGCATCAACCTGAATAGATAGGTCCAATATAAATTATCTGTCTGGGCCGGCGCCATGGCTCACTCGGAAGAGTGTGGCACTGGGAACGCTGAGGCCGCAGGTTCGGATCCTATATAGGGATGGCCGGTGCACTCAACTGGCTGAGCGTGGTGCAGACCACACCATGCCAAGAGCTGTGATCCCCTTACCAGTCAAAAAAATAAAAATAAAAATAAAAATAAAAAATTATCTGTCTGTCTTAACCAGTTCAAGAAGAAAGTTATCACATGGTTTAAAATTAATGCTTGTTAAAGAATCCTTATATATCCTGGGTTTTTTTTTTTTTTTTTAAAGATGACCGGTAAGGGGATCTCAACCCTTGGCTTGGTGTTGTCAGCACCACGCTCAGCTAGTGAGCAAACCGGCCATCCCTATATAGGATCCGAACCCGTGGCCTTGGTGTTATCAGCACCACACTCTACCGAGTGAGCCACGGGCCGGCCTTATATCCTGGGTTTGATATCTAGCTTTAGTGAGTAATTGAAGCACTGGTATTCTGGAAAAGAAGATTAGAAAAGATAAGAAGAAGGAGAAAGTGGAAACTACAGGGTAATGTGGTAGAACAAAGTAAATTTTTTGTGTGGCTAGCCAGAGCAAAAGTAAATTTTATTTATAGACATATTTTAAGAAAGTTGATTATAAAGGATATAGTTTCTTGGCTTTATAAAAGATAGAAGGTTAATAAGTTATTAGGGCTCTAATGAGTAAGGAAAATAGGCAAAGGAGAAAGAACTGATAACCTTTTTCAGATATCTCTGCTGAAGGGGGAAGAAAATGTATATGGGGCTCTATCGGTATTGATCTTTTTGGTTTAATTTTACATGTTTTCTTTTGCAGCAATTGGTGCTGAAATTTCAGAAAAAATAGATGAGAATTCAGACAAAGAGGTAGAAGTAGAAGAATCTCCAGAGAAGATAAAAGTACAAACAGCACCTAAAGTAGAAGAAGAACAGGATTTGAAAGTATGTATATTAGTTAATGTGACTTGACAAATAAGTGTGTTTTGGGGGGATCAGAACCCCTGATGTTGGTGTGATAACACCACATTCTAACCAACTGAGATAACCGACCAGCCCCTAATAAATTTTTTTTATCGGTCAACCATTAGACTACTTTCTATTAGCAAGTAGTAAAAGTAATCTTTACTATCTCCAAACCTAAATCATTTACTTGGTTAGGTGAAAAGATTCTATTTAAGGCTGAAATAAGGAACTATAAGGCTGGCTTGATGCTGAGAAATTATCTAAAAATAAATTCTAAATGCTTAATTACTTTTAGTTAAGCCTCTACTGGAAAGCGATAGCTTATCAATATAGGCTTCTCTAGTTTTGGACCACTAAAGAGACTAAAAGTCAGATTTAATTCCTGCATGAAATAGTGCTCTTTACACAAAGGCAGTTTTGGTTCCAACTGCATTTCTAACCTAATCTCATGGAGAGAGTTGCACCAAGTAAGTACTGGCTATTTAAGGGTGGTGTATTAGTTTGTTTCTGTTATTTATAACAAAATACACAGATCTGGGTGATTTTATAAAGAAAATGAAATTTATACAGTTTCTGAGGTTGGGAAGTCCAACGTCCAGGGAACACAGCTGGTGAGTGTCTTGGTGGTGGCTTTACAGCAATGCAGGGGTCACATGACGAGAATGGTGGAACAGAGAGAACAAAAGATACTAATCTCCTCATTCACTCTTTTTTTTTTTTTGTCTTTTGTCTTTTTTCCGTGTCCGGCAACGGATCGCAACCCTCAGTGTTGCCCCCGTACCGGACCGGGGACCG